ATATATATATATATATATATATATATATACGCAAGAATAGGTCCTCTACCTCAGCGTTATAAATAATAACAAATAATAAATAAATAATAATCTTTATTTAACGTCGTGTACAATTGTCAACAACAAATATAAGCTCTGTGGAGCTTTTATCACGACGCCGCTAAGGGAACAAATGGTGTTTTCGTGGTGGAGGAAACTCACGGGGGAAAACCACCGTGCCATCGGAGGGATTACAACTAACCCTATCAGACATCACTCTCTTTTTTCCACCACCGCTGGGGAACGAACCGAAATTGGGAGAGCGAGTGTTCCTTGTCCGCGATGTTCTCAACTTAATTGCTGCCTTCGGCTGTCTTTAGCCGAGGGGACTATTTTATTTTTTATTTTTTATATAATAGCTATATTCTCAATTACAGTATATCAGTTCTATCTTCTTGTAATATGATGTATATGTACATGTAACTGTTCCGTTTCACTGTGTCTTGAGCAAGGAGCGGATCGCTCCGAAAATTTGACAACCTAAACTTGTCCACACTACCGTTGGAATTACTTCTTTGCCCCATATATATATATATGTATATCTTTTCGTGGAAATCAGATAACTATGCTTTTATACATGATTAACAATACCCATCCTAATTTGTTTTATTTCAATGTCTTTGTAGAATATGCTGCACTTGATTTTTGCAATGGATTCAAGAGGTGCAAATTTAAATACTTATATAGAGTCTAATGAACCTTTCGCATTCTCACATCAATGTCATGTCATCATACGCCTAGGCGGAAAACTTCAAGATATCAAACATCTTGTCAGCCAAAAAGAAATCAAGAAAGGAAACTTAACTGTAATATACACTGTATAGCTATACATGTAGGTCTGATTTAGTAATTCAACACTTCACTCAATGTTTGAAAGAGTACAGTACCGATATTCCGATACATTTACAGTACAACCTGGCTCCGCCCTCACTAACGGCCGTGCCGTAAAACATATTAATACTATTTTTGTGAATGACCCTAGCGGCTAAACAACGACTGGTCTGAGTACATATTGACTAAATTAGATAAACAGACCACATGGGCTTTGTGAATAATGTTTACTTGCTGAAATATTCACAATTGAAGTTCCAATTTAATCCGCCTTGCTACTTCCAGTCGCCACTTTGTAAACAGGGGCCTAATCTCGAGCTGATGTGCGTTTGAAAGAGTTTGAAGTATTGCAAAACTTCTAAACGATCATGCCCAGAACATACTCTCTAAGGATGATGTTTTTGATAAATTTACTATCAATTATTTACTATATTTCTTTTTTGTATCACTTTCATTAATTCATAAAAGAACAATTTTTTGTTTCCCCTCCAAACTTTTATATTTCAAATGTTAAAACACATTTTCTTTGAAAAAATGTTCTAGTGTCGAGATTATGATTAAACGTCGTCTGCCTCGCAAACATTCAAGAAAATAATATTTACAATGTACTGATATTATTTTTATTAACTCGTTTATTCTTTAAACTATCTTTAATTAATAAATATCATGATTTTGTGAATTGAAAAAAATGCATTTTATGACGTAACCGGAAGCGCACTTGATACGAGAACGTGACCCGGAAATACCTCACAACATAATCGGGACAGTAATAATAAAAAGAAGTTTATCGAACATAAACAGATTAATACCGTATGTATTGAGACACTGATGTGCTAGAATACAACAAAAGGTAACACTCGTTTAATCCATTGCTATCACATCAAGTACTAACTGACATTTATGCGAAAATATCAGCATTAAATGTTTGCGGTCGTGCAGACCTACTTTCGTTTTACAGTTTACATACATTTATACTTGTCGGCATCAAAAGTATACCTTAACTTGTGTGCTTCATCGTGCCGAAGATTATACTACATATAGCCGCATTCGAGGAAAAGTTCGTGATTAAAAGCTTGTGTGTGGGCATTTTTATCTTAAAATTATCGGATAAAAGCATAGTGGCTGACAGGCATGTTACTTCAAAATACAAGATATAAGAATCATTATTTCACTTTGAATATACATGTCATAGTATAAGCTCTCAGGCGCTTGTATTTCGACAAACACAGACATATATATATATAAATGGTAAAACATTGTAACAGTGTAAGGCAAACAACACATTATATCACAAGATACCTACGTTGGAATTATTAAGATAAAGAGGCTAAATCATGCTGTACAAAATTTGGCACTAAAACAACTTACTTAAAAACTAGACCAGAGGGCAGGTGATTGGGACATAGTATTTATTTGTAACCAGGAGCACAAGTTTGGTAGCCGTTAATATTAAAAGACATTTTTA